AACAAAATATGTAAACAAATTACAGGAACAAAGCTTATTTGTCTGGTGCATTTTAACAGTCAGCAAAATATGTAAACAATTTATATATTAATTATTTATTTATTAGCACGAGAGAAAAAATATATCTAAAACAAAACAATGCAAGAGTAGAACAAAAGACATACAATATATAGTATAGATATCACAAATGTGCAGGAGAAACCAGAAAAACCCTAAGGGCAATGGTCATCATTACACAGAATAATTCACACATTAGAAGTGTGCATGTGAGTCAGAGAATTACCTGTATGACAAAAGGAGTGCATGCTCTCAGTCAAAGGTTAACACGGCAGCGTTTTATGTTGTTTCCTTGAGCTTATGTCGAGAAAGCATAACTGGCCGTCTATATCGATTCTAGCTCGCCATACAATAACCATAATCACAGTGATTCAATCATAGTTGATCTCAATTAGCATTACGTTACGTCGGTTTATATTCTGTCGGCTCTGCTCAGTGTTTTCAGCTCTGTTTCGTTTTGAAATGCTTAACGTTAACAACATAGCTGCTAATACGGCTATTAGCTACTCAGCTAGCATTAGCTCCTAAGTGTCTTAAACGAAAACGGAAAACCTAGTCGCCGTTTAGGAGGACAGATACGGTTCAAATGTCCCGCATACGTCGAGAGTTACACATTATGACAATCTTAGTAAAACCGAAGTCCCTCACACAGTAACTGACGTGTGCATAGCATAACTTGCATTGGCTGTAAAGCTGTGGATGATGGTCACGGAGATGAGCCAGCAGATTTGTAGTGTTGCTACCCTTTGCAGCAACTTTCTTTCTGCATGTTCTGCACACAGGATAGTTGTCCTCCACCAGCTGTCCCTCGGCATTCTTCAGAAACCCAAAGTACGACCAGACCTCAGACTTTGTGCGTTTAGTTGGGGGGAAAATGTCCTGAGTGCCGCTTCCGCCATGTTTTCATTCTTTGTGTTTACACATGCTATACATTCACGCAGCACCTGCATCGCGAGACTTGAATGAGGCTGTTATTACATATCCTGATAATCCACCGTGATAATGCAATTAATTTAAACATAAACGGTCATTCTTACCATGTAAAAATTAACCGAAATTTACCGTAATATCGGTAATCGTTACATCCCTAATATATACACATATATATGAATATGTTCATACCCAGCAGTGGCAGTATGGGGGAGAAAAGTCAGTACAGTTCTCAGGGCCTCTGACTAAAAAAAATATTTAAACATTAAGATTACAAGATAAGATAACAGACGATAGAATAAGGTAACTAATACTAACAGTTGCTTTTTCTTTTCTTGTTTTTGGCAAAAAGTAAACATCCAGAGAGCCTCTGTATTGCCCCCTCCCCCTGTGTTTCCTTGAAATGGTTCGGTTCTGACCCTAAACCTGGCGTAAATGGTACTGGTTAGCAGCGTGGATTGAGGAGAGTCTCAGCTTCCAAAGCAAAAATCTGGGTACCAAAAAGGAAAAGAAACACGAGAGAGAAAAGAAAGGGCGACCGTATGTCACCCAGTTCTTCACAAAGAAAGGTGGGTCACCCTGAGTGGTGGAAATGAACCAATTTAGTCCATAATGAAATAGACTAGGAGTTTGCTCCCCTAACTGTTCATATCTTAACAGAAAATTCTGAGTCTTTACATTTTTTACTTTACATTAGGATACAAGGCTGTCTGAGACACTGGCTTCATTTAAGCCGCTCCAAAAAACGTACGTCTATGGGAAAGCATATCCTGACCTAGTCTGAGCTGTCTGTCTATTTTGATGCAATCTTACTGATTTTATTTCCTATTTATTATCTTGATTTAAGTTTGACCTTCCTTATTTTATCTTTTATTTGATGACATTTTATGACATGTTATTTGTTTTATTCTTCTTGTATTTTAATTGTGTTAAGTTAAATTGTACAGCACTTTGTAACTGTGTTTTGAAAGGTGCTATATAAATAAAGTTTATCATTATTATTATTATTATTATTTTGCTCCTATTAAAGCCGTTATTTAATCATTACAGCCAAACTTTAATCAGGCTCTTTTTATTAAATCTGCCCCTTTTTATTAAAGCTGCCCCTGTCCCTGCATGGCACCAGGCCAAAGTACAGATGCAGCTTCATCTTCAGCAGCCCTACCTCCCCATATAACCCCCCTACCCAGAGGCGGTCCTGGCTAGTTTTACGCCCTGGGCAAACCATCCCTCTGACATGCCACATACCTGTGTGCCACCACGGCTCGGTTGTCCAGGTACTACTGGGCATTCATGACACCAACTAAAAAGGAAATTACTGGACCTGGAGTTGGACTTCTCTGTTGCCAGTAAGTGCTGCAGAGCACTATGAGCCTCCGCCGTATTCCTGTCTGTGACCCCCGTTCAACCCACAACCGCCAGGATTCGCCTTTCCTTTCTGCTGCTGGTTGAAACATGATAATGGGGCGCCCCAGCGCCCACTCCACTAACTTGACGTGGAAATGAGCGGTAGTCTAGAAAACTGGTGAGTTTTGGGGGTTTTTTTTGTTTTATTTTGGAGGGCGCTCGCCCACATTGCCCATAGCAAAAACCGTCCCTGCCCCTACCAATGAACCAGTATTCTATCAAATGACATGTCAGCTGATGGTAACTCAAGTTTGAGTGATTGAAATACCACAGACTAAAAGTAATTACTTATAAGAGTTCTAGAGGGTTCTAGAGATGTGGTTGCAGTATTTGCACAGAATTCATGTGGCCTGTGGTGGTGGACCCTACTGTCATATCTTTTCATGTGGCCCACAATCCCTTGTGGCACCCCTGGTGCCTTGAGTGGCATGGTAGTGTTATACTGTAAAGGACAAAAGGGAGAATTGTAAAACAATAAAAATAAATGTATTGTAATACTTTTAGTTATATCATGTTTTGTATTATTGTCATTCTCTTCACTGATGAAGTTCCTGTTGTTCCCTATGACATTTGTTCTGTGCCAAAATATATATGATGAACACTGATGGATCCCTGTGTTCAGTCTTGAACTTCTCATCCAGGAAGACAGTCTTTGAGGTGTTAAGGGATTGGGGCAGATCCAGTCTGACTGTATTGTTAACGTATTGCCTGTTCAGGGTTTCCTGAGTCCTGTTCACCTTTGATGTCAATCAGACCTCTTGATCAGCCCAGCCCACAACCTACTGTTTTAGGCTAGCCTTGATGTAAGAGAATTAAAGGGATAGTGCACCCAAAAATGAAAAATTCAGCCATCATCTACTCACCCATATGCTGACGGAGGCTCAGGTGAAGTTTTAGAGTCCTCACATCCCTTGCGGAGATTGTGGCGGGAGCGGCTAGCACACCTAATGGCTGACGGCGCCCTAGACTAACATCCAAGAACACAAAATTGAAACCACAAAATATCTCCATCATGCTCATCCGTAGTGATCCAAGTGTCCTGACGCCCCAAAATAAAAAGTTGTTTCGAAAAACGTCATATGAACTCTGTTTTTAGCCTCATTGTAGCCTGTAGCTCTGACTGCTTTTCTGTGCTCCGCGCTCACGTGTGCGCGCTCAGGGTGATCGGTGATGCACGGTCTCTGAAGAGCAGCAGTCTCGTCAGTACTGCTGTCCAGATTCTCAAGTGCAGGCATCGCCAATTCCCAGTCTGAGCAGCTAAGACTTTCCTCATCCGTTGGCATTGCTTTGCATTTGAAACAACTACACCACCAGGTTTCCAGTGCTCGACTCTGGTATTCTGCGGCTGGCTGAGGGTTAGGCTCATGAGCTGCAGCGGCTGCTTCATCCAGTAGCCTGAGTTCCGCGTCCGTATACTCGGGCTCAAACAAATACAGCCCAACAAAGAAATGGTGTTCCTCCTCAATTTCAGAGTCTTCAGACATGTTGGGCTGTCCTTTGCTAAATGACCGTAGTGCAAATTATCTTTTAGCTACTGTGGTTACCGTTGTCTCCCCCTGCGGTGCACGTGTCACGTGATGTAAACACGGGTAAGCAAAGCTCATGCTTTCGCTGGTCTCGCGCAAGCACACACACGTGAGCGCAGAGCACAGAAAAGCAGTCAGCGCTACAGGCTACAGTGAGGCTAAAAACAGAGTTCATATGACGTTTTTCGAAACAATTTTTTATGTTGGGGCTTCAGGACACTTGGATCACTACGGATGGGCATGTTGGAGATATTTTGTGGTTTCAATTTTGTGTTCTTGGACGTTAGTCTGGGGCACCGTCAGACATTAGGTGTGCTAGCCGCTCCCCCCACCGATCTCCGCAAGGGATATGAGGACTCTTAAACTTCACCTGAGCTTCCGTCGGCATATGGGTGAGTAGATAATGGCTGAATTTTCATTTTTGGGTGCACTATCCCTTTAAACCTTGTCTTTGAATAATGATCTTGAGAGAGAATTCTATGGCTCACTGTGAACTTCTATCCCCACCATGCCGTAAATAAAAACTAATTTGAATCAGCCACAGAATGGCCCTGAAAGCATTTTTTTTCTTCCACACAAGTCATGGTGAAAGAGGACTGAAGTTACCCGATTAATTTATTTATACTCCAACATGCAGTCAGTTGTGGAAGTCAGTTAATTAATGCAATGCATTCACTTGAGGGATAAAATGCACTGTTTGTCTGAATTACTGTAAGGGGGTTTTTGTCTGACAAGTCTGAGAAAAATGTTCATATTTGTTTTTCTAAAGTAACGAGATTATTGTCTCATTTATTCAGCTCATTATTTTAAGAAAGGGAACCTGCAAAATTCTAATCTAATTCAGAAAAAAATCAAGGGGCTAAAAAATTCAGAAATAATAATCTCATAATTCAGAAAACAGAGCACAACCTTTTATCTATGAAAACTTTTCTCGGAATTCTGAAGCGTCTTGTAAATTCAAAAGAAAAAATTGGGGACGTTTTTTTCTCAAGGGAATGCATTACGCTTCCATAGTACTGTTAGGCCTATTCAAATCCAAAAACTGTAGCATGAGCCATCCATAAAGAGTTCCAGGAGAGGAAGTAGCCTAGATATATCGGCTGCTCTCAATGGCTGTTGTGGCTACGTCAATCATTTGGCGTTTTTTTTCCTCTTCCCCCTGCAATCTAAGCCTGGTCTGCAAATTCTCTAGCCTCTGGTCTTCCTCTCTGAGAAACCTCACGGAATAGGCTACTTACCTCCTGCTCTAAGTGTTCGAGGCAGCCGAATCCACTGCTGCTTGCTAGGAGTTTTCCACAGCAGGCTCTGTGCTATACTGTAGCTGAGAATATACTAAGAAAATGACACATTTTAACAAGGGGCCAGCCTACGGATTATCTGCCGAAGTGAGAAGCAAAGTAAGTGTCCAAGTTTTGTCTTTACCTTTGTGTCTCCGATGGTAAACATCTTTAAAACACGTAAGCTAGCGTTTAAGAATCCTGTCTTCATAAACAGCCCGTTCATCTCGGAGAAAAGCAACACACCGAACTGTGGCCATTTCAACACAGTGGCTGGTTTAGTGTCCATTTGCCGTTAACAAAAGCTGCCGAAACTTCTTTTCAGCCCGGTGTTGCGTAAAACCGATAACGAGAGCGCGCAGCATACGGTAACTGATCTCCAGTTCTTTAAACGTTTAAGCTTACACTAACAAAGGTAACATAAAGAAACGTGGGCCAGATTTAACAGTTGTGATCTGAACGGAGTTGTTAAATATAGCCTACAACAAATTAAAGTGCAGCTCATAAACGTCGACGGAGATTGTCCAAACGTTGAGCACATCTGCCGACAACTAAACAGAGCACAAAGTGATGATTGGAGACTTTAGGCCCCCACCGCTTTTCCCCCAATACTGGGAAACAAACTTTGCTTCGTCCCTCTTTGTTCACAGATGGGATCACAGGAACACTCTGAGGTAGTCATGGAGTTAAAGCTGCTAACTTATTCGAATGCTATGATGCACAGTGTGTTTGCATAGTAAAGAATCCTCCATAAGATGAATAAGCTATATTGAATGTATTGTTAGTTTGGGAGGCGCTGGGCCCCAGCTGGGGCTGTGCGGCTTTCTCCTGGTTATATGACCTCTTTGGATTCACTCACTCACTCTGTTGTCTCTCTTTGGATATGTTGCACTCTTTAAGATTGCCACGTAGCAGTGGTTTAATATTAGGCACTTTCTGTAATTGTAATTGGAATGATAATGAAAGAAAAATATGTACCATTGTAACAGGAGGTTGCTCTTCAAAAATGTGTCAGTATTATTCGTTCAAAGAAATTAAAGGTGTATATCAGCGTTATTACAGACAGCTGCAGACTGTGGGACTGTATGAGATGTTAAAATAATGACATAATCAAAAGATCTCTACATTATAGTGATACAGCTCTGCCTAAAGAAGCTTATCTGAAGAGAACTAAAACAAAAGCACCACTAGACGTTTTCAATCATTAACCACAAACCACATGTAGCTACTTTTCATCACTGCTCACCACTCACTAAGCATACTGTCATTCTGGTATGTAATGTTTTTCATCACTTAAGCACCCATGGATTGCCACTAATTTCACCATCATATGAAACTTGTCCACTTAAAGCTCACTTGAGTCTGGTATTCCATTCCAACATCATATCTGCTTTCAATGCTAACAGTGAAGAACAGTTTGTGGTTGTATGTGTAGGTAGATTAGAAGAGTCTGTACTTCATAACATTGTTACAAATCTGCCAGGTGACTTCAAACAACAACTCCATACTAAGTCATTTTTGTTGCAATGTGCACATAATTAATAGAGGTGACTTTTCCAACATGGCGGCGGAGTGGAAGCCTCGCAGACTCCACTCCTTTTGTTGATGATCAAAACTTTCAGATCAAACTTTATAAACCATTAGAGTTCCCTTTCTGACCCGTCAGTTAGGGGGGAACATCTTTACTAAAGATTAAACAGAAAGATCCCAAGGCAAGTGCAATATCCGAGATGGATGAGATTAAGAAATCGCTGGACGCCCTTATGGGGAAAATCAATGTGATGCAGGATAAAACACTAGTGAATATGCTGAAAGAGGTGAAAGATCTGGTGAAGGAAGAGGTGAAGAGTCTGAAGAAACTGATCAAGGAAAAAGATGATAAGATTGCTGCCCTGGTGCGGAGAGTCGACAATTTGGAACAATATACACGCAAGGATAATGTGGTGATTGGTGGCTTGACAACCAGACACCGCTCTTACGCACGAGTTGCCAGCGGGGAGTCAGGGGGCGAGGATGCTCCGCTGACCGAGCTACAGACTCTCGAGGAACAGGTGATTCAATTTTTCCACAGTAAACAAATAGCCATTCAAAAGGAAAGTATATCAGCCTGTCACCTATTGCCAAAGAGAGCCTCAAACAGAGCAGGACAAACGGAGCCAAACATTATCATGCGGTTTGCAAATCGGAAACACAAGACGGATCTTCTGAGACAAGGAAACAAGCTGAAAGGCTCAAATGTCTATATGAATGAGCATCTAACGAGAAAGAACGCCGACATTGCCAGATGTGCGCGTTTATTGAGAAAACAGAAAAAAAATCAAATCAACGTGGACTAGAGACTGTAAGATATGGATACGTACGAATGGATCATCCCCCGAAGAGGAGAAATCCATTGTTATTCGGGAGATTGAAGAACTGGAAAAATTTCAATGAGACTGAATGGACAAATTGAAACAATCACAGTGAAAGTTTGTCGCTGTCTGTTCAGATTTCATTGCAGGAGTAGTATGGATGTTTTATGGGAAGTTTATGGGCAATAGAAATTTGTTTGGACTGTGCGTGTATTGGTTGGCCGACGCTGACTGGAGCTTTCTTCCGGGTGAGCTGGGGACTTGGAGTGGCTTGGAGCTGCAGGCCTGTTGCGAGTATCAACAAGGGAATGGACCTATGGACTTGCCGTGCTAGTTGCCCTAGACTGCTTTTTTTTTTTCTCTCTTTCTTTCTTTTTTTCTTTCTTTTTTCTTCTTTTCCTGTTGCAAATGTTGGACTGCGGGGACATTGTGGAGGTACAAACGAGTGGAACTCTGGAAACGAGTGAGTTCATTGTCAGTGTTTTGGATATTTCATTTATTTATGATTTACTCTTATTTTTATACCAATGATGGACTATGAGAGTGACGATCAAGATGTAACGACTGGAGAAAATGATATGACCACTCTTCTAAATTCATATCTAGATTTTAATTATGAAACATTTGATTACTCTGGGAAAAGAACACATGACATGGACTGTGACTTTGACCCAGAAACACATTTTTTTCATACCATGCAAAACGAATGTAGGTATTATACTGAACAGCAATTCAGCGTAAAGGTTAAAATGATAGATGTGTTCTCAATTATACATATAAATAGCAGAAGCTTAATTAAAAATTTCTCAAAGGTATATGATTTTTTGGGGATGTTGAAAACCAAATTTAGTGCTGTAGCTGTTTCAGAAACTTGGTTGAGTGACGAAATAGTAAAAGATTATGAATTGCAGGGGTATCGCATGTTTTATGTTAATAGGAGAAGAAAAAGGGGTGGGGTCGTGGTCCTATATGTTGATGAGACCCTACAATGTAAGCAAGTGAAAAATATGTCTAAAGGTATAGATGACAAGTTGGAATTTATAACAGTAGAAATTGAGATGGAGAAAGCTAAAAACATAATCATAAGTTGTGTTTACAAAGCTCCTGTATGTGGAATAGAAATTCTTAAGGAACAAATGATTGACTTGTATGAAAAAATAATTAATAAGAGGACTGTATTTGTATGTGGGGACTTCAACATTGATTTATTAAACACACAGGGTCATATGGGTACAACAGACTTCATTAACACCATGTATACTGTTGGTCTATTCCCAAGGATCACTAAACCAAGTAGAATTACTAGTTCCAGTGCAACTCTAATTGACAATATTTATTCTAACATCATAGATGCAACTGTAGGGGGGTTGTTCATCCAAGACATAAGTGATCACTTACCAATTTTTACAACTTTTCACTGTAATCTAAGGGGAAATCCTGGGGAAAAAAAAGAAACAACACTTAGATTGAGAAATACAGAAACGGTGGAGTCATTAAAAATGGATCTGATGAGACAAACCTGGGAATCTGTTTATGTTGCTGATGTAAACGAGGCTTATAATTCATTTTTAAGTATATTTAAAGAGTGTTATGATAGAAATTGCCCCTTGAGAACACACAGTGATAGAAGTAAAAAGGAAAATAAGCCATGGATATCCAAAACCCTACAGAATGCAATTAAAAAGAAAAATATACTATACAGAGAATTTATAAGAAGTAGAACAGAAAAAGCTGAAAGAAGATATAAGCTATACAAAAATAGATTGACAAAGATAATTAGGATAAGTAAGGAGAATCACTATAGTAAATTAATGGAAGATAGTAGAAACAATATCAGAGAGATTTGGAAAGTAATTAACAGCTTAATTAGAAAGAACACTGGAAAAGCTGATTTTCCCCAATCCATCTTAAAGGGAGATATTCATATTTACAATAAGGAAAATA